ACTCGACAGTGCGTCTACTCTTGCGTTTTTTCCAGAACCCAAATTTGAGATCAAGCGATATAACATAAATGTTAGGTGTTACAAAAAATTTGACACGGCTCCACTATGTCAGTTGCCCGAAGATCCCGACTTCCCCGACCTGGCAAATACGATTATCCTGCTGAATGAAGGTAAAGACGCCGGGTCAGTGCGCAACGTTCATCTGGAAGTACACCAGCTCATACCCGACATCCCTGACAACGTAACGGTTTATTTACTTGATTCCCATTCCGGCATGATATCGATGACACGAAGAAAGCGTCACGTCCCCCAACGAATCCCTGAGCTAAAATCTTTACGAAATGCTCTCATCTACCTAGCTCGTGAATCTGCTTTCAACGACTTCCATATAATAAAATCCCTCACCGATGTTCAAAATGCCTTCCTTCAGTTATTAAAGTCTGTATCCTACGGGGATCCTGAGGTTTTGGGTAGAGTTATAGGACGCAACAAGCAGACTTCATGGTTCTCCGATCTGGAGTTTTGCTACATGGGGAGGGCCCGTGCGACGACGCCCCTCGTACCCAACGGTTCGCGTGCCGCCCCAAGCCAATGGGCGCACCTACTCTCCTCGCTGGGACTTTTGTGATTGAGTTTATAATGGAAGACACTGTTGTTATTAAATGTGCGATAATCGGTATATTTCCCGTCCGTTTACTCACACTTTTCATGCTTCTTATTGTGCGTTTTGCGTTCCCCTGAGTGTAATTCTTTTAATTTGTGATTTATTTTTTGTGCTATGTCTCTGGAAGACTTCACAAAATTTTGCGAAAATTTGTTTAAAACCCCGAAAGACCGCCGAGCACTCGAAGCTCCCCAGAAGGTGATCGCGCTTGAAAATTTATGGTTGAACATTCCAGAGGAACTAAAAACGGGCGAAGTTACTAATTTATACACAAAGGCTGAGGCCTTTTTGGCAAACGCGCGGGTTTCTACTTCAACTTCTGGTTCGAAACAATCTACGATGTGTCTCGACTTCGATTTAAGGGCCGCCGAGGCCACAGTGGCTATTGGAGTGCGGCGCAGCCGATGTAGGTAATGCTCATTTTTCTGCTGACTAAGATTTTTCTCTTCTCTTTATGCACGGACTTCGTCCGTCGCGCCAGTCGCAATGTAGCTCTTGTTTGTAGCGCCCAGTCTTTTAATAAATATTTAGTTTCCTCAACTTTCAATGACCTCCTTTGTCAAAACCCGAACTTATCCACTCAACAGGTTATTGGGCCCAGATTCCAATCAACCATCGCGGCCGTGCGCGTACTGTGCTCTCTAGTTGTGTGTTCATATCACGACCGTTTTTTTCTCGCCAAAGGAAAAATGAGCTGGTTTAGCAGCGATTCTGTGATCGAAATAACGAACGACTTCGATGCCAACGACGCCATCCTATACGTGCTGTTTCTAGTGCTCGTGTTTTTTCTCATCATGTCTTACGGCATTCGAAAATGTAAACGGCTCGAACGCAGAATTGAAAGTGCAAGGAGTGTCTAACTTTAAACTTCGGGCAACCTCAGTGCCAACTTGAACTTTAATTTCGGGCAACCTCAGTGCCAACTTGAACTTTAATTTCGGGCAACCTCAGTGCCAACTTGAACTTTAATTTCGGGCAACCTCAGTGCCAACTTCAACTTTAATTTCGGGCAACCTCAGTGCCAACTTGAACTTTAAACTTCGGGCAACCTCAGTGCCAACCAGATCATCATGTCGGACTCTACTCAGGATACTGTGGCCACGAAAGAAGTGGAAAAACTAAAGGGCAAAGCCAATTTTGAAGTATGGAAATTTCAAGTGACAATTCTGATGGATGAAAAAGGGGTAACCAATGTAGTGAATGGAACAACAGCCAAGCCGACAACTGACGACACCCAAATTAAACTGTGGGTAAAAAAGGACGCTCTCGGTAAACGAATCATTTTTACAACTCTAGATAAAAACTTAATGTGTAATATAATGTCATGTCAAACTGCCAATCAAATGTTCACCACGCTAAGGACCCTGTATGGGAGAAACCAGCAGGAACAAAAAACTGAGCTGATGAGGGAACTTTTTAGCACAACATACGAAAGAGGTGTCTCTATGACGCAACACATAAGCAAAATTCAAAACATCTACTGTCAATTGAAGGCCATCGATAATACTGTAAGCGACCAGCTCCTTATGTCTAAAATTTTAACGTCCTTACCAGAAAAGATGAGCCATTTTGTAACGTCATGGGACGTCACTCCTACCTCCGAAAAAACTGTTGATAACTTAGTCTCAAAGCTGCTGATGGAGGAGCAGCGGCAGAAGAAAGATGTAGAAAAAGGGGTGGCATTTGAGGCAAATTCAAACAGCAAAAAATGTTTTCGGTGCCACAGGCCTGGGCATGTAAAACGCAATTGTAGAGCAGTTCTCTTTTGTGAAATCTGTAAAAAGACAGGGCACCTTACGCAGTACTGCCGAACAAGAGAAGGGGATGTTAAAACCTGTAATTTCTGTTCTAAAAAAGGTCATACTGAGGACAAATGTTACGCTAAAAACAAAGGTAGTGGCTCAAAAGGCCAAACAAAAGGTAATGACAACAGAGTGGCATTTAGCGTTCACAACGAAAAGGATGATAGCGCTGAGTGGATAGTGGATTCCGGTGCATCGAACCACATAACAAATAATTCGGAACTTCTGAGTTCAATAAGTGATGTGAGTGAAACAATAGGCGTTGCCAAGAAAGGAAACGCAATAGAAATGACAAAAAGAGGTAAATTCCATGCAAAAGAGTGCACATTGTTAGATGTATTCTATTCGAGTGAAGTTCGCAGGAACCTGCTCTCCGTCGGCGCTATCACTGACTTTGGCGGAACTGTGATGTTTACTAAAAATGAAGTCTTAATTAAAAAGGATGAGGTAGTTCTGAAAGGTACAAAAACTGAAAATGGAACCTTTAGTGTAAAACTGCACCCAACTTGGGAAAATGAAGCCCATTTGGCAGACAGCTCAGTTGATGCGTGGACCTGGCATAGAAGACTAGGTCACCTAAGTGCTAGCAATATGTGTAAATTGCTAAATGTAAGCGATGGAATTAAAATCCAATCAAAAGATATAAACAATGCAATAAAAAACTGTCAAATATGCATTCAGGCAAAGCAGGCTAGACTTCCGTTTAACACAGAAAGGCAAAAAGCGACTAGAGTTTTAGAAATTATACACTCGGATGTGTGTTATGTTGATCCCCTCACATGGGACGAAAAACGATACTTTGTTACTTTTATGGACGGCTACTCGGGTTTTGTCTATGTGTACTTGTTGAACTCAAAAAGCGAGGTCAGTGAATGCTTTAAGGAGTATGTAGCCGAGGTCGAGGCAAAATGGGGACTGAAAGTTTCAAAATTGCGCTCAGACAATGGGGGCGAGTACAAGTCAAACAGCTTCAAAAGCTGGTGCAAGGAAAGGGGCATTGTTCCGGACTTTTCAACTCCATATTCTCCTCAACAAAATGGCGCCAGCGAGCGCCTGAATCGCACAATTTTGGACAAAGCTCGAGCGCTAGTTTTCGAGTCTACGCTCGGAAAGGAAATGTGGGGCGAAGCTGTACTGACAGCCGTGCATATCATTAACATTAATAGGAGTCCAAAATCAGGGAGGGAATTGACACCGTATGAAGTGTGGTTTCAAAAGAAACTAGACTTAACAAGACTTAAAATTTTTGGGTCGCAAGCTTATGCTCAAATATTGCCAAAACCGGGAAAGTTTGATGAAAGGTCTCAGAAATTAACTTTTGTGGGATATGGTCCAAACGGCTATAGATTGTGGGACACAAACAGTAGGGAAATTGTCCTACGACGTGATGCAATAAAACCTGGGTTCTCGTGGACAAATCTCAGGCTAGGGGCGCAAAAATCCTAACTAGCAGATGGGTTTTTCGAACGAAAGAAGATGGGGTCAAAAAGGCCAGACTAGTAGTAAGGGGTTTTGAACAGGGTGACGTCGACTACGGGGAATTATTCAGCCCCGTGGCAAACGCCAGTTCTGTAAGAACCCTGTTAGCAATAGCTGTCGAAAAAGACATGCATCTGGCAAAGTTTGATGTAAAGTCAGCCTTTCTCAATGGAAAGCTCGATCAAGATGTTTTCATGCACATCCCCACAGGTTTCAAGAGGGTAGAGGGAAAACTTTGCAAACTAGAAAAGGCACTTTACGGGCTGAAACAGGCACCACAGGCCTGGAACACAACTCTCACTCAGCGTCTGATTAAAAACAACTTAAAGCAACTCAAAACTGACAGTTGTATCTTTAGAAATAAGGAAAAAACAATATACATGTCTGTGCATGTAGATGATGGTCTGACGGTCTGGAAATATAAAGGTGAAGTGGAGCGCTTGTTCGGAAAATTAAGGGAGGAATTCGAAATGAAAATTGAGTTTGAGCCAAAAGAATACATAGGTATTGAAATTGAAACATGCAAAAATGCAATAAAAATATCACAGAAAAGATACATTGAAAGTGTCTTGATGACTTTCAACATGCAAGATGCAAAGGCTGTTGAAACCCCCATGGTCCCTGAAAATTTAAGCAACAACGAACAGGCGGTCAACGGAACCAAACAGTTGGATATAGTTTCTTTCCCGTACAGAAAAGCTGTTGGATCCCTCTTATATTTGTCAAATAAAACCAGACCAGACCTAGCTTTCGCTACTAACGTAGCAAGTCGGTGTTTAGACAACCCAGAAAAGAAAGATATTATAAGGGTAAAACGCATTTTGCGCTATCTAAAAGGTACACCTTCTGACGGCATAATTTTCAACAAGTCTGGCACCTGCAACGTAACAGGATACTCAGACTCGGACTATGCTGGTGATCTTATGACTAGGAGAAGCACCACTGGTCTAATTGTATTTTTAGGAACCTCTCCTGTGTCCTGGACTACTCGCAGGCAAACGACAGTGGCAACTTCCAGCACTGAGGCAGAATTAGTGGCTGCAACGGATTGTGTAAAGGAGCTTGCACACATGAGAAATTTGATTACGGAATTATTCGATTCTAACACTAAAAACGAAATGTTTGTAAAAGAAGGCACACTTTCTTTGCTTCTCGATAACCAAGGTGCCATAAAACTGATTCAAAACGGGGTAAATAGTAAGCGCACCAAGCATTTGGATGTTAAATATCACTACATTAAAGAGAGAGTCGAACGAAACTTGATAAATATTAAATTTATCGGCACAGATGAACAGACAGCCGACATCCTGACCAAACCGCTACAAAGGGTCAAATTTGCGTATCACAAAACCAAGCTCATGGGTGGATGCTCCTCTTAATCCAAGTCTAATTTTTCTACTCTTTATTTAGCGGTATAAGTTTAAGCAATTAAGGGGTATTTAAGGTTTAAGTTTAATTTCATGTACCCATGCTAACCAGAAATTTCGCATTAAGGGAGGGTGTTGGAGTGCGGCGCAGCCGATGTAGGTAATGCTCATTTTTCTGCTGACTAAGATTTTTCTCTTCTCTTTATGCACGGACTTCGTCCGTCGCGCCAGTCGCAATGTAGCTCTTGTTTGTAGCGCCCAGTCTTTTAATAAATATTTAGTTTCCTCAACTTTCAATGACCTCCTTTGTCAAAACCCGAACTTATCCACTCAACAGTGGCGGACTTCTTTGGAAACGCAGAACAATTAAAAGATTTCTTAGACTGTGCGCGCTTGTATCAGAGTATGTTGAAATCTGATTCCATACATCTTTTTCTACAATATTTATTAAAGGTGAAGCTCACGGGAAAGGCAAAATTAGCCATATCTACCATCATTGGTACCTTCGATGATTTTGAGAAACATCTTAAAACCAGGTTCATCCCCAAAACCACCATCGCAGCCGTACAGAACGAACTCGCGGCGTTGAGCCAAGGGTCATCTTCCGTCCACACCTTTGCTTCAAAAATCGAAGACCTCATTTGCAGCAATTGCAGCCTTAATGATCTTCTAGTGTTAGAAAAAGGCGAGTCCTCAACGGACTTGATCCAGGAATTTAGTGACTTAACAGCGTTAAATGTGTTAAAAAAGGGTTGCAACGAATCTATCCAAGGCGATATTCCGCCTTCGACCCTGTCCACAATGTTGAAAAACAAGGACAAAATGCCCATTGGTAATGGTCGAGTAAACAACGGTAATGGTGAACGGCTGGATCTCGATGATAATTTTTTCGATGCACTGGTAACTTTGGAGAACAATGTTGACAGCGCAAGGTGGAGTAATCTCAGTCAATCAAAAATTACTGACTACTTCCAAAAATACAACTCTACTATTTTAGGTTACTCTTGTGTGACTAGAGTACCTAATTGATAATAATTAATAATTTTAAAATTAAATATAAATAATTAATAATTAATAACTTAGTGTAATTTTTACTTCTGTAAGGAAACAAACTGATATTTTTGGTTCCTTTTGGCGTAAATCCGTCCATTTGCTCCTCTATATTCGAACCTCTCTAATTCGAAATTTCTCCACATGGAATCTTTTTAATTCGAATTCTCTTTATATTGAAACCTGTTGAATATTGCAGCATGGTGTAGGACTTTTGGATCACCCTGTATACTTTCTTAGGATCCTCATTTGGGCAAAATTACTGGCCAAATGGACGGTTTCTAACCAGAGTGCTTTTGCAAGTACTTCAATGATTTGTTCTTCTTTGAAGAAAAGGAAGAACAAAGATTGCATCAGAATGATTTTATATAGAGTGCTTCAGGATATGCTTCCTTAATTTGGTTTTTTTGGTGAAGGTGGCTGAGCAATGACCGCAGCTGAATGGTTCCCCGCCAGCATGTAAGTGCAAGTGTCGGCTTAAATGTCTCTTCTGTGAAAAAGATGCAGAACAATGATCGCACCTGAACGGCCCATTCTCACCGGTGTGTATTCGCATGTGAAGTGATACATTGGCTTTTACAGAATATGAGGCGGGACAATGACTACATTTGTATGGTTTCTCACCGGTGTGCGACCGCATATGAACCCTTAAAATGGTTCTTTGGTTAAAAGTGCGAGGGCACTTGCTACAAATGAATGGTTTCTCACCGGTGTGTCTTCGCAAATGATTAACCAGTACGGATTTGTGGGAAAAACAGGCAGAACAATGACTGCAACTGAATGGTTTCTCACCAGTGTGAATTCGCAGATGGACTTTTAAAGCACCCGATAGAACAAAGGATGCTGGGCAATGACTGCATCTGAATGGTCTCTCACCAGAATGAGACCGCATGTGTGTTTTCAGATGGGATTTTTCAAAGAAAGTGGAAGAGCAGAGACTGCAACTGAATGGTTTCTCACCGGTGTGATTCAGCAAATGAGTTCTTAAAAGATATTTACTGGCAAATGAATCAGCGCAATGACTACATTTGAAAGGTTTCTCACCAGTATGAATTAGCAAATGCTTTTTTAAACTCCTTTTTTCAGTAAAAGACTCAGGGCAATGACAACAATTGAATGGTTTCTCACCGGTATGTTTCCGGAAATGTTTTTTCAATTCGTATTCATAGAGAAAAGTAGCAGAGCAAAGATTGCAACCAAATGGTTTTTCACCATTGTGATTCTTGAGCGAATGAGCTTTTAAAAGACGTTTACGGGCAAATGAATCAGCGCAATGACTGCACTTGAAAGGTTTCTCACCGGTATGAATTAGCAAATGCTTATTCAAAGTACATTTCTGAGTAAAAGACATAGGGCAATGACTGCAACTGAATGGTTTCTCACCAGTGTGTTTTCGTAAGTGTATTTTTAATTCGCAATTATAGGTAAAAGTAGCAGTGCAATGGCTGCAACTGAATGGCGTCTTACCCGTGTGCGTTAGCATATGAAGTTGCAATAAGCTTTTAAGGGAAAATGGAGCAGAGCAATCACTGCACCTGAACGGTTTCTTAAGAAAGTGTTGTTGTATATGTTGCTTTAAATCACAATCAGATGAATAACATGCGGAGCAAAAGCTGCACTTGTATGATTTATGACAGAAATTATTTTCATTCCTTACCGTAATTATACCTCTGTTTGGTGACATGCTTGATCCAACGCTATTGAATTCATTTTCTTTGGATTCTGCTTCCACCGCAAGGTTTACTTGAGATTGGTAAAGAGGAACATCATCAATATTTTTCAGTCTCACAAAAGGGACCAATGGAACATGAGAAGGTGCTGAATTAATATAATTTTTTGATAGGATCTCCTCATTCATTTGTGTAAATGTGACTTCTGATTCATCTGGATGCGGAGAGATTTCATCCTTGATTTCAAAATTAGTGTGTAACTGATTGGTCAAGTTTTCCTCCTCATTGTCTACCTTGGATTTAAGTTCTGTGGCAAAACCGGCTGGAGCATCGAACGAGTAGGAGCAAATCTCTGGTTGATCTGGTGAAGGAGATCCTTGACACAAAGGATCTTTCTCAATTTTCACAGGATGGGATGCAAGAATGGTGAATTCCTTGTCGAATCCTGATTCTGGGTCCGATTTTGTTATTTCACAATTTATGAATACCGTGTGACTAACCTTGGGTTTGTTGTCCAGCGGATACTCCATACATTTCATACTCGACACAGCCCTTGAAATTTCGTCTTTTGGAGTGATGAGTTGTGCTATGGACGTGTGTTTTGCTTCTGGCTGATCCATTCAGAATCCTGGATAGAAATCAATTTCAAAATAAATAAGAATATGATTTGGAGAATAAAACAATTGCACATATTGGAAAATGGGATAAGAAAGAAATTCGAGATTAGATCATCTGCTGGTATAGCCTATAAGAATTCGGATATGACAGCTTTTTTACATATTGAATTGCACTCTCAACATTCTTCCTCTCAGCAAATTAAACAACTTCTTTGGGTTTGGTTTCTTTGGCAGGTTAATCTTTTTTACTAGTACATTGTTGAATTCTGAGCCTTCTCTAGTGAGTTTTAGGTATGAGAAAATTCAGATAGCATATCCAAAAAAAAAAAAAAAATGAAACACCTAAAAAACATCTAAAATGCCTGGATTAACCTGAGTCTGGATCTGAGGAACCTAGGCGGTTACTTTATAGCAGCAAATTTGAGGAAAAGGAGGCAAAGGAGGAATTTATTAGAAAAATTGTTACTTTTTTTCGAAAGTATTATACTGGGCAGGTGAGGTTTGATGAAAAATAAGTGAAAGGGCAACTGTGAGGACTATACATTTTTTAAACTTTCCTGGGGAAAGCCCCTCAGACCTCCTAGATAAATACCTGGGAACATTGCAAATTGGCTACATTGCTACCTCTTTATTCACATCTGAAATGAATAGGTAATCCATTCTTGTCGGAGCACCTGGCTCCACTAGAAATTGATTAATTGGACTGCATTTAACAGAAAAGAACCGAGCTACATCAGCTATTGCCAAATTTAACTGGGCAATTTAATTAGTTGCAAGAGAATGTTAGTGCTGATTTGTTTGAAAATTTTAAGGAATTTGCATCGTATTATGCAAAAAATTCACTTAAAATTGCACAAAAAACTTTTTCATGTAAAAAATTAAACTGTCTGATTAAATTTGGAAATAGCTGATGTGGCTTGGTTCCTTTCTGCTTAAAGCAGTCCAATTTCCCTATGTTTAAATGGAGAGAAAACAATTCTGCTAACTTGCTGCGAATGTTAAAAATTCCATGAGATGTAAACAAATACGTACGAATTATTCAGTTCCACCGTTTGAATGATGCCTTGACAGAAAACCTACGAGACGATTCATCGAACAATATTCACCGAATGTATGATGTGAAAACGGAGATGTAGGTAACACGCCTGAAAGAAAAATCAGATTTTTTAGCATTCAGAAAGTTGTGACATTATTACAAGTTGTGACTGGGGATGGACAGATATTTCATTGATCAAATAATCTGTACAAAGATATTTGAGTCACATTTCATTATTGGTGAAGTTAATCGAACATTTTGATTAATACTTGAAGGTATGGCGAAATTACAACTACCTGTTACGTTCCCTCCAATAGTTCAAAATTGAGGTTTCGTAATGAATTAGCTCTGGAGCTCTGGTCAAGTTCTCCTGTTTTGTCCCTGGCAGCGGAGTTTTGTAAGCGGAATTTTTCCTATAGCTTCTCTACTCCAGTATGCCTCGAAAGAAATCCATAGTCTGGAAATATTTCACCAAAAGTTTGAATGACAGAATTGAGAAGTAATCAAAATTGAAAGATTTGATTTCTCAAATAATCGCAATCTAAAAGTTTCTAATAATTGCATTCTGATTCTATGATCGTCCATCCCTAATTGTGATAGATAATTGTAGATAATCTAAATAACAGAACCATGATACGGAGCCTACTTGATCAGCATCGAGTAACACCAAACAGAAAAAGTAAAAGGTAAAGGTAATCTCTGATTAGCTGGTAATCAGTACTGCTCCGAAAGTTCAAACACACGTGGCACATTTCATGAGGGTCATGTTAACCACTTTTGATAATGGGCCCATGGTGAACAAGCTCCGATAGCTTGAAAAGCAACAGATTGTTCTCGAGAATTCATTGATTAGAAAAAAGGAGGTGTTTTCATTTCGGGCATCTTGGATTCTTTTAGATGACATAGGTCTGTACAGACAATTTTTTTCATCAATTTTCTTGGAAATGGTGTGGTTAATGGGAAAAACTCATCCTACTGAAGGTGTTTGAAATCGTAGCATGAGTTGATTTAAGTAACAAAATCGGACTTTATGGTTCATTTCTCAGACTTCGAATCCTGGAATTTGCTAGAGCACCCGTAAGTACTGTACTACAGGCCTGTACTGACCTACGTAACAACAATGGGTAAACAATCCTCAAGATCCTCCTTTTTTTTCTCTATAGAACCTATATGGCATTGCCAGTCGCCGCACACTAATTTCAGGAGTACTTACTGGACGAAGCGGCCTCAAAAGAAGACTTCATTGGCGCAACAGTAACCAGTACTTACATTGAGACTCTATTGTACTCAATATGATCACTGCTACTAAAAATATAACAGTGGCATAGTTGTGAACTGCATTATGGATTTCAATCTTAAAATAAGGAACTTACATAATAATGGATGTCCTTTAAGGGTTGGAAAGTCACCATAAAATCATCCACGAAACTTGACACATTGCACTGACAGAAAGAGACTCTTTCAAGCATGGCTCCTCGGGCACAGAATATTTTTTGGGGTTATGTTTACGTTTACTCCGTCATTTTACGTCATCATACGCCAAGGAAAAATGAAAAAAGCCGGCAACAAAGCCATCAACGATTATTCGGTGTTTTGTGATTCCGCGGCGTTTCGTCTCTGGGTGATAAGAACGATTATGAATTTGTCGTTGGGAATGCAGTGATAAGTTACATTTGAACTTGTGCGAATATTCCGTTCCGTTCTACTAGTGCTTTCGCTTTAGCTTTGCTCTTCAGGACAGTTTTTATCAACGAGGTAAGAGTCCATCGAGTCCACGTGTCTGAGGTTAAAATTAACTCCCCTTTTCTCGGTATTTCGGCCACCGCATGGTCTCTTATTTACCTTTTTTAGTCACCGACAGCGTGGCCGATAAACTTTGAACTCGTTGTTGAATTAACGAGTCTCACCCTCATTTACCCACGACCACAGAGTCAATTACTTGCTTCCTAAACCCACCACTTCTTGGATACTTTCCTGGAAGTCTTATTTGCCTGTTCGTGAATGTGCCTTTGTGTTTCCTTCGCCACATATTGTTTGGAACAGTGCCAGGACTAGGTCTTTGATCTCTCTCTCCCCGTACTTTCAGAAATATCAACGACATTCTCTGTAAGTTAACCAAGCTTTTGTTGTCAATCAAGTTGCCAAGTAAGGCGGTGATGCTTTGCTGAAGCGTACAGAAAGCTGTGACATTATTCGAAGAAAGGGTAGCTTTGGATGATGCAATTTTCATGCACTCAGAGCAAAGCCGTTGAAGTGTCAAACACCTCTCCTCTGCTGATCTTGGTTGTGGGTTGCTGCCAGCAGAAATTTATTAGTCGCATGAAGAAAGTCGTCAAGACTTGATACAGAATGTTTAAGGCAGATTACAGTTGAAGAAAGATTTTCTATCCATGTCCGTCAGTATTCTCTTGGGGGAAGCTTTCAAGGAGATTATTGCGGAAACTTTATTCCTTCCAAATCATTTTATGAACAACCCCACTCTAAAGTTAGTAGTATATCTGTCCTCAACAGTGAAACATAATTTTCAAGTTCATTATCATAGCCGAATAATTTTTTCCAGGAAGTCTCTTAACAGGAACATACCACCATGATCTAGGCCAATTTTTTTGTTATTTCGTCCTTTAAGATTGAAATATAGGGACTCTAGATAATTAACATTTAAGTAACCAGATTTATGATGGGTGTATTTTAATGATCAGTATTGATTAGTATGCCAAATTCTTACGATCCAACCATTTAAGTATTCAATTTTTCTTCCACTCAGTGTAATGAAATATTTGACTGTGTGAATCGTCTTTAGCTTAAGAATCAATTTTAACTTTTGTGACCTTCTTTTTGGCATGAAAATCTCACGACAAGATGATCTATGCCACAATATTTGTATGTTCCATCTCCACTGGAGATTTCAGTTGATCCTCACCAGACACCTAAGTATTTCTGATGTCAAAAAATCTTATGGACTAGATCTTTCATGGGACATAAATAAGACACTCTGCAGGATATTCAATATCAGAGGAAATAATCTCACTCGTAGCGATAGAATCTCAAAGATTTACAGGCTCTCCTCATTGCAAAGAAATGTAGGTAAATCCCTATCCCCAAGAAGTTGAGGTTCACTAATTTTTCCCCAACATTTGGCAAGTGACAAACATGATCTCAGAATTATTATTGAATTTTTGAATTCTATTTAGTTTCTGTAGTAAAAACTATTCTATGGGAGCTTGTCATCTTCAAAACTTCTTTTTTCTCATAGTGATTTTTCAAAAATTGCACAGCCTTTCTCGGAAAGATCAGATTGTGATTTCATATTCTTACATGTGTGATTTTGTATTCAGATTGGTGACAATGACATCTAGCTCTGAGCTGGGCACGCCAATGGTGCCGGTTGGCACCAAACAGGAAAAAGTATGCATGAAGAAGCAGCTAGGGTTGTTGGAAGGAGTTGCCATCATCCTAGGAATTATTTTTGGATCAGGTTTGTAGTTATCATTTCCAAATAGCTTTTCTTTTTATGTGCAGTGATCTCTTTGTTACTTGCTAGGGTTCTGTTCCACTGAAATCTTGCAATTAACCCTACAATATGTTATTCCAAATAATGATACCACACATTCATGATAACCGAGGGAAATTTTCAGCAATGAGTAAATTAACCAACTTATTGGGATGACTAATCTTTTTTTTTTTTTGCAGTGAGAAAGTAGCCACAGAAAAATGTTTGTTTCATGTGATAGATCAAGAATTTGGAGCTCAAAGTATGGGGCCAAGATCTAATTCAAACCTTGTTTAAAATTTAAGCTCCTGTAAAATCTCCTTCTCCATGAGCCCTCCCTAGTAGCAACGACTGTCAAAAAAAAAAAAACTTTTAAAAACTCTTAAATTTCAAAAGAACAACTCTTATAAACTGTCAAGAATCTCTCATTAGAAAACTTTTTTTGGCTATTTTTCAAAGCAAAATTTAAGAGCGGTACAATTCAAATAAAACAAGTGTTGAAGAAACTCTTAAAATATCATCTGGAATTTTTCAACACTTAAATGTTTGAAAAAAATGTTAAGGAACTACAGTGATTTTTAAAGAGTTTTTTTTAACACTTTTTTTCTCCAATCCTTTTAAAAAATACCCAAAAAAGATTTCCTATTTCGAAAATGTCATCAGTATTTAAAAGGTCATTGCTACTAAGGCCTAGTTTAAAGTAACAAAAATATATGATCCACAATTCAAGAGAGAAGAAGAAGCTCTTATCTCCTTCCATAGAGATTTAGTTCTCTGTCCGGAGCAGTGTAATGCTATGAATTAACCGAAAGTGAAAAAAATTGAGAAAAATGAAGTCAGAAAGTTAAGGATAAGAAAATATTTTTCCACTCATCTCATAAGATTTTATCGCTGAAATAGAAGAAGTGGGTTTGCGCTGGGGCTAAATTTTTAATAATTTCCTTAGGAAGTCTCTGCAGACTCCTTCTGTCTACAGGGACATACCTATAATATAAATATAACCCCTGTCCCTTGCCAGTAAACGATCACACGTGAATTATTTTTTCCATCAATAACCCTTTTTTGCAGGTATATTTATCTCACCGACTACAGTCATCCAAGATGCCAAATCTGCAGGTCTTAGTTTGCTTATCTGGGTGTTGTGTGGTATTCTATCCATGGTCGGTGCTTTATGCTATGCTGAATTGGGGACATCTATACCCAAGTCCGGTGGTGACTACGCCTACATCTTTGAAGCGTTCGGCCCTATTCCAGCTTTTCTATACTTGTGGGATGCCATGCTCATCTTTGTGTAAGCAGAAAATCTTTCAAAAAATTGGAATCTATGTATTTTTTGCAGTGCCCTCCCATCACTCAATTGCACAAATTTGTCCTGGAAAATCAAAGTCAGTGCGTCCAAGTGAAAGTCAAGTGAACACACTTAAATGATCCAGTGCTAGACTTAATTTTTGAACACTTATGTAAAAAAACTCACGCTTCCACTGTGACTTCGACTATTCGTCAAGATGCGTTTCGGCAGCTACCGAGGCCACTATTATTAGCTGACCATTCAAAAATTAAGTAACAGCTGTTACTTTTTTCTAAAAAAAAAATTGATCATGAGTGGGGGAAAAAAAATGCTAGACTGTTTAGTTGACGCGTCATTTTTTGTCCCCTGAAACTTTTATCTGAATTCTTGGTATAAAAATTTCTGTGAGAAAGCAAATCATCTTAACTGCACAAAATTACCCCCTTTTCCCCTCTTTTTTAATGCATGATGTAGTTATTGAAGTCTCAGCATGCTGTTATTGATATGGGTGTTTTTAGAGAGAAGTCCTTGCTTTACAAAATATTTTTGAACTCAAACTGTCGATAGTTCACAAAATTTCTGTGTTACAAATCCAAAAAGCCGCTAAGACTTCAGAACCAAAGTGGAAAATTTAATAACAAGGATATTCCAGGTATGAAAGAAGAACATGTCAATGTCGGAAGTGTGAAACCATGTGTCTCTGTTGCAGTATTTCAAAATTTCTGCTGCTATTTTGTTTTGTCAAAAAGAAAGGAGTTAACTTAACAGCTCGAAATGTATACGGAATATTCTGTCAATAGAGAAGAAAAATCAAGCAAATTTTTAAGAAAATACTTTGCCCAGTTTTCTAATGCAAAAATAAATTATCTAGTAGTAAAATAAGTTGTCTAGTTTTGCTGAGAAAAAAAATAAAGAACGATAGGAAGTTTGCAACATTGCCAGCAGAGTTACAAGGTTTTGTACTTGTGCCATCGACATGTAACCATATCTGTGATTTAAAAAAGACCTAATCCCGGAGAAGTACCACAAATTTCAATATCATCTACCACTTTTACAAGCCCAATCAACGAAAGTTAGAACTTAAGCTTCCAAGTTATCAAATCTTAGATTTTTTTAATTTCAAAAGAATAAGCACACATTTCCTGGAGAAATCGAGCTGAAAAAAAAAAAAAAAACATCGAAAATGCAAATAATTTTTCTGTACTGAACTCCTGATAAGTCATGGAAAAGTCAGGAAATGTTGTTATCGAAGAAAATGCGTCTTTTTGTATTTAGAATTCCTCCCTGGTATTCAAGAAAGTGCTGCTCTTATACTCAAATATTTGATTAGTTTTTCTCCTAAGATTTGTCATTCTAGCACCTCTCCTGTCTTTATTTTTGCTTCCTCGTTTATTTTATCTCTGCAAAAGAAGTATTAGTGCTAATTTACCAGTCTCAGGCAGACACACGTTCATTGATCAATTTTAGAGATGTTTGAGCCCTTTCAAATCAATTTATAATCTCTTCCAAGCATCTGATAAGTTGATTACCTGCTTGCAAAAGTCTGCACTTTTAATTTAAGTGCCTTAAACGGAAATAAAGTGAGTAATAACTTGATGGAGCGTTTTTCAATCAGTCAGAGAATCAACTTGATAATTATTTCGTTTCTCCGCTAATGAAAGGGCATGATTGCAATTTTTGATGAGCTCTGTTGTTTTTGCAATTCTCTACTCCTCTAGGCCCACAAGAAGTGGAATAATTCGTTTTTGGTAGCAGAACGACACTTAGAAAATCAGATGTCATAACGAGGATGGAAAACTGATTCCAATGGAGTTTTTTTTCTTCCTGTTTCTTCTTTAATTTGAATAGTTTTTCTTTTTCTCTAACCACTGCTACAAGTACATGACTATGAATTTTTAATATTTTCTAATTCTTCCAGACCCACAACGAATGCTATCATGGGATTAACGTTTGCCAATTATATAATCAAGCCTTTCTTCCCCACTTGTGATGTTCCTGACCTACCAAAAAAGCTGATTGCGGCCAGTGTTATCTGTAAGTGTGTGTTCAGTCATAACCGCCATAGGGGATGTGATCCTGGATTTCTTGACCATTATGTATTTCGATTTTTGAATGACAGAGTGTCATTGTTCGAAAAGAAAAGAAAGAAAACAAAATGGTGTTACAGTGTTATCAGCCAAAGGCAGGGAAAAGTTAAAGGTTGTTTTGGAAACCAGGTAAAGCTAGGAAGCTTCTCGTATTCCTCTTTCTGTGAGCAGAAAAACACAAAATGTCGCACCTAAATGTTTTTTTGAATTAAATTTGAACAAAAATTCCTCTTATTAGCTATTGATCAATCCATCCGTTTTTGTTCGGATTTATATTTCATCTTTATGGATAATCCTCTATTGTAGAAGTGTCTTTGTACGTAGGTATAATTAATCATAAATGGTATCTCGTTATTGGTGGTCAAAGTTGAAAAATTCACATCTCAATGGCACTGTTTAAGAATCACTGAATCATCTGTAAATGTTTCTTTATGAGTAAATAAAATTTAAAAAAATTCTCATTAATGCTGTCTGATGGTTTTCTTTCAAAATGACTAAAAATAGCCAGAAATTACAATGTTACAGTCAGAGATATGCATTCTTTTACTTTAACTATCAATATATTGATGTCTGAAGTTTGAAACCAGGTACTTCTGTTTGCGGCGCTGCAGACTTTCTATCGTACTTTATTTTTTCTTCAGAAAACTAGTCAGTATAGTTTCTTGAAAACTGCCATGGTTGTTCTCCTCGATTAGTGGAATATTTTGTATTAATTCCAAGGTATGAAGTTGCCTTGTTTTTCTTTTGAAGAAATAAAATAGGAGTGGAAACTTTGAAACCCCGCAATGGAGGCACATGGTTTCACACTTTAGTTATCGATATGTGTAAAATGCGCTGGAATTTCAACCTCCAAGTCTTCACTTAGGATGGACAGATGAATGTCGTAAATGTTTATAAATATTATCTGAACATCATCATCAAGTATTAGTGGCAACTAGTATGGGTAGTATATCAATGGCTACACTCAGAAACCAAGTATGTTGATTGGGATGTTGTAAAGTTTCTGCTCTTTTTAATTTTTTCATAGGGAATCGGACTGTATTGCTTGAAAATCTCTTAACCTATCCTCTAAAGAAAAAGAAAAAATCCTAACAATTTTTGTCTTGATTTTTTTAGGCTTTTTGACGTTTTTGAACTGCTACAATGTGAAAGCAACAGCAAGGACCCAGAATGTTTTTATGATAGCCAAGATCGCTGCTCTGTGCATAATTATTCTTGCTGGGCTTGCATATATGACTTTTGGTAAGTTTTATTTTTGGCATCTTATTTTCTAAATGAAAAAACCAGGGTTGCCACAGTCAGGGAAAACCGGGAAGTGTCAGGGAAAACCGGGAAATGTCAGGGAAAATTTGTTAAAGTTTCTAGTCGTCAGTCAACGAATTCAGTTTGTTAATCACTTCATGCTTTTAGAATGGTTACGTTTGAAGATTGTACTTTTCAAGCCTTTTAACATCAAACAATTAACCGTTAAGGAACTATTTTCCGAATATGTGCATTCAACATATCGTCACATTTCAATTCAGCGGAATTTTGCCAAAAGTGTCAGGGAAATCAGGGAAATGTCAGGGCATTTTATTTTCTAAATTCTGTGGCAACCATGAAAAGCCTTTTTTGATCCCCCCCAAAAATTGCTAATTACACAAGGATCATTATTTTACTTGTTTTGACTCTCCTCGTATTAATCCTCTTTTTTGTCTCAGTCAAATCTAAAGATCCACTAGGCTGATTTCTTTGACCGTTTTACTTTTAGCAGTTAATTTCACCAGTCAAGCGTTCTTAGGTACAACAGAATAAAAAAAGTAAGAAATGGGTAAAACAAAGCTCACTTAATCACTTGATCATTTTATTGTACTTGTACTTTTGGGCTATTATTTGTACTTTATCGTTATCCAAACTTGCTCCGATAAAGGTTTTGAATTAAGGTCCAGATTTTTCCTCATCGTCAATGGGAAAGAGGCAAGGAATTTTCGCGGGATTAATTTGACCAGGTAAAATTTTGTGGGAAAACTAAACAGTTCACTAAACAGTTCATAAAATCATTTCTGAGGGGAGAAAAAGCTAAGAATCTGGCCAATTCTAACCTAACAGTCGAGTTGATGTAGTTAGGCCATGCCTGAATATGAGTTCAGCTAATCAGCAAACGCCATTTCCCCTGCCTGGCAACATCATCAGAGCCCGCCAAATGTATCGTTTCCAATGGGTCCCTTATCTTGGCTTGGGTCCCCAAAACAAAATTTCTTAGTCATACAGGGTTAAAAAAAAAACCCGAAAAAATCCCCAAAAGCTTAGTTCACTTTGTACTTTCAGGAAATGATTTAAAAAAAAAAAAAAAAAAAAAATGAACTGTTGTAATTTCAACCGTTGGGATTATTTCACAACAGTACAACTACCCAAGGGTTTTGCATGGGAGCAGCCATTTTTAAGAAATAATCTCCTTCAAAATGTCATTTATATCGTGTGCATTTTTAAAGTCATACATAGTCCCAAATGAAATGTCACATGAAGTATTTTCAGACAGAAAATGTATCTACTATCTTTTTTTAATTTTTTTTATTTTTTATTTTTCTTTTGGCAGCGGATAGAGGAATGACGAATTTTGAAGACGTGTGGGCAAACACAACCTCTGACGCAGGCCAAATTGCAGTTGCATTTTACTCAGGCATTTTCTCCTATTCTGGCTGGTAGGTTGGTATTTTTAGTTACTTCAATGGTTGCTTTATTTTTGTGTGTTTTGACCATTGAAGCGTCTACAGGTCATACAGAAGAAGAAAAAAAACATCAGTTTTTTAAACAATAGGTCTGCTGGTCAGGAAAACATTCACAATTTCAATTTAATGATTCCGAAATACATTCTAAAAAAATTTGTATGCAATTGATTCAGTTGAAGAAATGGTCTGATTGAAGCGTAAGACAATTGCAGGTGAGGAAGAGTTAAAAGTTTCCATTAAAAATGAATGATCCTATGAAATCACCTTACTGGAGAAAATTGAAGGTTTGTCTTTTCTTTCTTTGGTGGGAGGAAGGGGGGGGGGGCAAAAATATTTGTAGGTAGATAGCTTCTCAAAGCTCTGGTACACTATCCTGTATTTATCAACGCTATGTTCAGTGTTCTTCTGTGGATGGTTTCAAATGGGTACACAAAACTTACTTTCGAAAATTCTATTACACTAAATGTATTGGGCTAGAGTAGTGCTGATTTTTCAATTTTTTTTTCATCCTTTTTTTTCATTTTTCTATTTTCTTTCCATACTCAGTTTTTTTTTCATGACTCAGAATGGTTTCAATGCTCAAGACTTTTTTTTCTTTTCCAGGAACTACCTGAATTTTATGACAGAAGAATTGAAAAATCCCTACGTGTAAGTAAAATATTTGTCGTGAATATTTTAATGCCATGATATTGCTGCATGCCAAAATGACCTTAACTTAGTTTTGTTATATTTTGCATTTTTGATGCTTAAACTGGATAATCATAGAGTACAGTAGAATATTCCAGTCTCGAAATTTTAAATTCGGAAGTACTTTTTAACCACCTTATTACATACAGTTCGGGCCACGTTTCATAGTGTTTTTTTCTTCTCATTTTGCAATTCGGAACCTCCATTTACAGTTCATTTTAGTCACAACATATGTGCCAGCATTTTCCCTAGAGGTGCTTTAATGGATGAGCGGAAAATAGTGATTCCCTTTTGCAGAACAAAGTCCATTCATCAATCCTCAATGAGACAATTTGACAATTGTTGGATGTCTGAAATAGGCCAGACTGCAAACAAGCTGTGTGAATGGGTGATCGTCCGTTAACAAGCCCCAGTTTCCAGTGGGCATCTTTGACCTTTGATCTGTGTCAATCTATCAACTCCTCGACCCGTGAATCAATTATTGGTGTCATGATTGATCATTGACAAGTCACATTTGAAGCCTTGTATGCGAAATTGACGAAGTCTTACTTGAACTACATGTCACATCTGTTGTTTTTGCCTAAGCTTCCATTATGTCTGTTTTGCAACTTGCAGTGGCGTATGTATCCAATTGATCAGTTCCTGTCTCAGGACTTCTGACCTTCGGTGTTCTCTGATTTTTTGCATATTTATGAAGAGAAAATTGTTAAATTTAGTATGGTATGTCCCAAGATTAAAGTCAAGTTTGAGGGGTAACTTGTGCCTTGACCGTCGGTGAAAATTCAAACCCTTTTTAGTTACTGGGGTGCAAAGTTGTGGGAAAATATTGATTACGTATTGATTTTGAGCGCCCGTTTGGATAGACTCTCATGAAATTCGGCATTCACCAAAAAACTTGATGATGACCTTAAATTTTTAACAGCAGAAGAATCATTGATTGAGTATTTTGGGTGTTTTTGAAGTTTTAAGAAAAACTAACATCCAGTAATGCTCCAAAATACCCATTTGATTTTTTTTCACCCCTTGTATTTTATTTTGAATGGTCATTACTATTATTGTCAAGTGCCAAAAGTCTCAATATGACCAATTCAAATGAGGGCTTTAAAGTCAAGAAAAACTGATCCCCCCCCCCCCTTCTCTCTCTTCAGGGTGTCTACACGTCCGGAAATAGTACTGATTTGTTAAGGGCGGTCATGGAGTACTGAAAAAGTGCGGGAGTTTTGCAAGAAAGTCCGGATTTTCTGTCGCAATTTAAGGGGGAAATTCAAATTTTTGAAATTTTTCGAATTTAGTCAGTTGAAGGTATTGAAAAAAAACTGAATTTTTCCGTTGAGGAGGTACTGAATTTCTTAGGAATGTACTGAAATAGTACTGTAAAAGTACTGAATTTTGGCCATTCTGTTTTAGTAGACACCCTGCTCCTCAATGTTGCACCTTGAAGCTCAGAGGAATTTGTGTTTAGAGCCTATGCTCAAAGGACGTTAAAGTCTCATTGTAACGTTTGGAATGTTCTCTCTCAATTTTGATGTTATCCTTGAGATACTCTGTTAATCATACAATCTATTTTATCAATGAAGGGCCTAAATGGTGTCTTTTAAATCATACTTAAGGCTTCCTCAAAGTAAATTTTGAAATGCCTTGCGTTTGAAGCCTTTGAAAGCTGGAAGAGAGGGGAAAGAAATAGGGTAAAGCTTACATTTTTATGGAGGGTTTTCTAGAACATAGTGGGGGAGGGGTGTTTTACTCATCAATGGACCCCCAGACATGGTTCGTATTTAAGAAGTATACTATGAATACTCATCCAAATTTTACATAGAACATGATTCGTGCAACAAAAATTTCAAATCATTGAAAGAATATCCTTACAAAGATATGTATTCATATTTTTCGATGCTTTAATTCAAAATTATTGCTCCTAAAGAAAAACCATAATCCACTTAAAATTAATCGCTCACTAAAGGATACTGCGATAGTCTCCGCAGTAAGTAAATATGACAACCTCAAACTCTGCGCTTTTGCTCAGCATGCAGTTCACACTTTAAACAACACAGAGTTGGGAAGGTACACTGCTTGATTGAGAAACCTGCCAAAATCGTTGGAATGCGTGATTTGATGCAGGTTAACTCCGGTTTTACCTGTGAGTGGGAAATTCAAATTTTTCGTCACCAATGTAAGATAAAAACGTTAATACCTCAGTGGAGAGTTAATTTTAGTAATTTTTGTTGAAATCGTGCTCCAAATGAAATTTCAAAGAGGAAACATTCATCAGTATGCTTGAATTTGTACCTTGTCTCGTAGTGCTTTGTATGAAAAAATTGGTAGTTTGAATCGACTCTTCGTATTTTACTGGCAGAAGACTGCCAAAGTTAAATATTAATGCTAAAGTTATTTGTGCGGCAAAATCTTATTTCTGAAATCGCTACACTTCTACATTGTCTAGCAAGAGTCCTTAACGCCCTATCTATGTTTTTTTTTTCAATCTGCAGAAATCTCCCAAGGGCAATTTATATCTCTTTGCCAATTGTGACCTTTATCTATGTGTTGGCAAATGTGGCGTATTTGGCTGTTCTAACCCCTGTTGAAATGATACAGTCGGAAGCCGTGGCAGTGGTAAGTACAATATTACTGTCGCAAACTTTTGCTAGAGCAAAGACAAGAGTTGTTCCTCATAGATGATGTCTCAAAAATCATGATGAGCACATCGGCAAACTCTAAAATGCACTCCTAACTTCACAATCTATGTAAGGAATATGCGATTTTTAAAGCCTCCTGCTTCAAGAAGGATACTACAGCACAGGTGAAAATTTCGTTGGAGGAGTCATTTCATTCAATCCCTGCTCAACATGGCCGACGCTTCCACGCGCAAGTTGAGGAGAGCAGGTCAATCAAGGCCGATATCTATCAACGTGAGAAAAATGTGAATGTAAACATGCTGATTGTTTACAGGTGATTAGAATTAGCGTCATTGTCACATGTGTTTTGGCGGATTGGCGTCTGCTTTGTTGAATATCGCCTAGTATCCTTGTGAGCAGGGGTTGGGTGGAATGACTCCTTTAACGAAATGTTTACTTGCTGTTGTTCGCCGTTTTTTAGGCGGGAAGCTGGAAAAGACACAAATTTCTTTTACAAATTGTGAAGTAAAGGGTACATTTCAGACTTTGCCGATGCGCTCATCGTGATTTTTGAGACATTTTCTATGAGTAACGACTCTTATTTTTGCTCCAGCAAAAGTTTGCAACAGGTCGTTTTTAAATTTCAGTTTTCTGCTTGACAAATAGAATTTTATATAACACAGAAGTAAGTGTAAGTAAGTCAAGTAATTGTTTAATTTTCATGTGGATTCTTCTTATTGTTCTGAGGTTTTTAGTCGACTCCTGTGACTTTTGGCAAACTCTCACCGCATTTTCTTTTTTGTTTTTTACATTCATGAGGAAGTAGTGACAAAAGTAGGTACGGTAAAAACTTGAATTTCAAATCCATAAAAGACCTACAGTTGACATTAGGAAATTGTAAGCAGTCATCTCAGTCACTGGTTGTCAATAGAGATAGATGTAATTTGGGTGCTCTGAAGGGAAAAAGAAAGGACCAAAATTTGTGACTCTAGAGATTAAATTTACTGCTACTTAATGGTTTATTTTAAAATCGTTTTTTGACATTACTAAGAACTAAACCGTTGGCAGCTTATTCTTTGAAACACCAATATCCTGAAAATTAATTTTTACTGGAAACGCTGCAATTTCCCTATCCAGTCAAAAATTGGTTGACCTGTTGAAACAATGTCGAAACAAAGTCAGGGGATCCTGAAATTTTTTGAGTCGGGAAAAGCAGAAGGAGTCAGGGAATGGGAAAATGAAGAAAATATGAGAAACCTGTATTTCGCTCAATATCTAATGGCATGCTTTTTTTCCAGTCGTTTGCTGATTCCATCATGGGCCCTCTAGCATGGACCATGTCATTAATGGTAGCCATGTCAGCATTCGGAGGTTTGAGCGTGCACATCATGACATCATCTCGAATGTGCTTCGTTGGGGCTCGCTATGGCCACTTCCCAGCCATGTTGTCGCACATCAGCGTTGATAGATTCACGCCAACCCCTTCCTTAGTTTTTCTCGTGAGTACACCATTTTGTCCATATTTTTAGTCAATCTCGGACGCTTTAATGCAAATAATAATCAACAATATTGTTTGCAATGTATTTTATTTTCCCTCTATGTTTCATTTGATTTTACGCTCTGAAGGCAATTAAAGGGCCAAAATTTCGATCTTTGATCTAGTTTGAGTCTTTAAAACTAGGAAAAATCCCTCGTACAGTTGAAACGCCCTCCCGATCAACAACAGGCCCCAGGCAGTGTTGTTGGAGATCATCAAACTCAGGGTGCCTGGCGAGGAATCAAACCCGGAACCATCTAATTGTAGAAGCAAAGCTCCAACCACCACACCACGGAAGATCGATGAGCAGAAACTGCTTTTTCCATAACACGTTAAAAATCTTTGATTATTCTCCATTTTTTTCCCAAAGGAAACCAACCATAATGCATATGTATCCTTTAAATTTTCCGTTGAAATTTTTAAATGAGTGAAGAAAATTCCTTGAAAATTTTAAAACAAAGTACAAAGAGTCAGTTTTTGCTTTAAAAAAGGACGTAAGCGGGGATTTGCAATATTGCGATGAAAGATTTGCATTTTAAGACCATAGTTATCGTAGTGCAGTTACTAAAACCTTGCCAGTTGTATCGATCTGGTTCAATTCAATTTTCTTCCGTTACTTAGGGCAGCATTTAGTGATAAAGAATCAAATGAAATTTCCAACAAAGTTGATTGGAGGGGATTTAAGCTCTCATAGAAGCATGTGTATTCTTCTGTCGATAATCTCATATCTGCAAAGAGTATTCAGTATATGTAACGCAGACTTCAATTTGATTACAATCCAATGTTGACTGTCCCTCTCTGGATTACAAAGAGAGCTTCTTCCTTATTTTCATTGATAGCGTAACCAAGTTTGATTGATCTTTTCTTTTTCAGAATATTCTCTCGTTAATCATGCTATACACTAGTAATGTCCGTGATCTGATCACTTATTCTACATTTGTAGAATCATTTTTCATCACACTCTCAGTGAGTGGCCTATTATACCTACGCTGGAAACAACCCAACAGACCACGACCTATCAAGGTATGATTTCTTGCACATAATTTTGAAACAATCCCTGAAAGAATTACAGTAAAATCTTGCTAACTTTAAATCAAATTTCGGTGTGGACAAAGTGCTACGCAAATCAAATTTTTTTCTACTCATTTGTCAGTGCTTTGAAGCGCAATGTAAAAACAATGCTTCATCCCAAGATAAATTCAGAATTTTTTTTTCTACCCAGGAAAAGTTTCTCAAGTCGAAGAATATGTTTTAAAAAATTAAAGTAAACTTCGATTTTTTTCTGTACTTTTTTGCTAAAAGTAAGAAAAAAAAGCGATTGAAAAAAAAAAATGAACCAATCAAAGGCAAATGTCAGGCAGTGTTTCCGTATTCTTTTGACTTCTAATGTCCTTTGCCGACAAATTTTCTCTTTGCCCAATACCCTCGAGAAGTGAAGGAAACACCAGAGTATTATGTTTCAAAATCAGTCTCAACTTCGAAAGAAGCTATCCTATCAAACACTTATTGGTAAAAACTTTTCATACTTGCAGATTTCCATTTGGATTCCTATTCTTTTTGTCATCCTGTGTCTCTTTCTGGTCGTCCTCCCATTCTTCGACTCGCCGCTGGTAGTTGGAGTCGGAAGTCTCATCACTCTAAGTGGTGTGCCAGTTTATTATTTCGGAGTCGTTTGGCAACCCAAGCCAAAATGGTTCCGGAGCGCTCTGGGTAAGCGTCATGAAATTTTCATTTTTTCTACAATAGGGATCAAAGTTTTCTCGGTATTCAAGCTGGAAATGTTAGTTTCTGCTCTTAGGAGGGTGAGAAATCACTGTTCATGCAAGCTGAGGCCATTGTATCAAAATTATCAGAAGAGCCAAAGACTGCGCAAAAAATACAAAGGAATTTGGTGCCACCTTTATTCTGCTATTTTTGTATTTATTGTTTCTTACGACTTCCTGAGCTTGATCAGGTTGAAAATTTAAACTTTGTATCTATATCTATCTATTTGGTGCCAATCTCTAAAAGAGCAGAGCCTGAAAGTGATTGAAGTGGTAAGATATGACGGTGCAGATCTATGGAATATTACCATTTCAATTTTGAAATCATCCAGATTTCTGTTTTCCCCTACAAAGTAACCAAAATGTGTGGAAGAAAGGAGTGTAGAGAAGAAGTACAAAAGAAGATTTAGAAGTAAACAGGAATATATTTATTAAATGAAATATGAAATTAATTTTGCACAAATCGCCCATCGTTCTTGAATATGTTAAGACAAGTCCTAACAAAGTAAAGGTTAGACTAATAGTGTTAGTTTCTCTGCTATCAGTTTATAAATAGTTACAGATTTTTTTTTAATGAAAATTTTGGGTAATTAATTTAAGTGATAATAAAAATGAACATATTAAATTTAATTTAATAAAGTTTCAGTTTTTTCTAATTTTTGATACATGATGATTTCATAAAAAATTTGTAAGAAGAAAAAAAGCAGAGAAATGAAAGAATGATTTTTTTTTTTTTGCCTTATAGATGTTTTTTTTTTTTTTTATTTTATTTTTTTTTCAAAATGGTTGCTTAAGAGCCTTAGGAAAATTAGCCTATTCTCAATATCTGGATTATGTAGGCACTCTGTGTAAAAGTTACATTTCTTTGTTTAATTTTTCAGATAAAACAACGTACGTCGTACAAAAACTGTTTATGTCTGCCAAGGAAGAGCGTGAACTGTGATCTATAAAATCAAGTGACGTGGCAACGGTGTCGTTATGTAAATAGTAAGTGATCTGCTCTTTTTCTACCCGCTGAATCATGACGTTTCTGCCAAGAAAATGCCTTCTATGTAAGATTTTTTTAATCATCAGATAAAGTTTTTCATGTAATTGTCCAGTCGTTTGTTGGAAAGCTGTAAGTTCCAGCGTATGTTGGAGCATTGATTGAGCAAAGTCTCATTAATTGGCATCCTTTTGTGAATAATTTTATCTAAGATTGTATTTGCATCTTGAATCATTGTTCAGAACATTGTCAGATTGAATGGGACGGAAAAGGGAAAGAATTCGGAGATAAAATTGGAAGAAAAAAGTAGCATTAGTTTCTTAGATCTTGTAAAAGCCTCTTGTTAATTTATTAAGCTGTGGAAAGTCAAACTTTCAATGTCGATCAATTTTATGTTCTCTTGAACGTTTTCTTCAAAACAGAAGTCTTTTCATGAAAATGGATCGATGACTGAACTCATCACAGTGTTTCCAAGTTTCCATTCTGTTTGATTTGATCCTATTTGCATTTATTTGTCAATCCCAATCAGAAATTTCAATCTGGGATGCTTAATTTGTTCCCTTCAAATTCAGAAATTTTACACAAGGTGCAGTTTAATGTTTCATCCTCTCTATCATCTTCTCTATCATTGTTTTTTTTTTTGGATGAGGATTCATTTCTCTCAAACCTTTTACTTGCTCTAATAATGCAGCAAGCCATTTAAGGCAATCAGTATTTTAATTTCGTTCATGTTTTAACGTCGAAGATAGTTGGTTTGCTCACTTGAATCTCATCACCGTAGGAATTTCCGGTAAAAGAAGCTACTCATCGAAGAGTATGGGAATTTCAGAAACCAGATAAATGGGGTTTCAACTGTTAATCAAAATGACCTAGAGTAAACAATCCAAAACACGAGATTCGAGTCATAAATTTTACAGAACTTCACTTATCTGTTTCTGAAGTGAAAAATTATTAGACAGAGTACCTTTTTGGTCAGATGTCCAAGCCAGATTTCTTTGTTCTCCATTGGTTGTAACCTTTTATTTTTTCAACAATTGTGTTATATTTTGACAAGTACTTAAACCTTAGTTTGTACCTTGACGAAACCTCTGTGAGGAATAGTGGTACTGTCTAGTCGTGAAATGTGATGGATTCTCGCTAATTTCAAGGATGAATACAGAAGTAAATAACTTTTGGCATTGAAACTATCTCCTTCTGTTGCAAAAAACTCTTTCTCCCTGACTTTTTTTTGTGCATGCATCAAATTATGCGCTTTTCGATTTTCTTTGAGATCTTGTTAATTCACCCATTCTCACTCAGGTTGGTTAAAAAATTCACCAAGCATTTGTACTACTTGGTATTCAAGAATTAGTGAATCATATTTGATCACAGTAATTTGCTTACCGCTCTGAGGTGAGAAAATAGTTTAGTCGATTCAGTGTAATCAGCACTTCTTTCACTTTAATTCAGCGACAAGAGGTCTGAAATTTTCACAGGAAATAATTTCTCAGAAGTTCCCAAATTGTTTCTTGTCAGACTGGTAGATATTTTGAAAATATGCTAGTGAGCAGTTTTGTTTTAGAACTAAGTTTAGCTCTGACCAATCATCCAGTATTTGCCTGTTGTCTAAAACGTAGTCAGTTTATTTTGAAAGGGCTTTTTTCTTCTTTCATTTTTCAGGAAATTAATTTTTGAGGTAGACAGAGTATTTAACGGAGGTGTTCACTTGTACATATCTACAAGAGCTAATTTTGTCACAGAGCATTGACTCAGTAAAAATGGTTTTGCATCTGAGTGAGTGAATGAGCAAGGGAGGGGGGGGGGTTTCACAAACGACCCCTTCCACAGCAACTTTGGTCCAATTTGATCAATTTACGGGCATTTTTTGAAATATTGCCTCTCATCTTGAGGAAGCTCTGGCAGGGTTGCCGGCGGAAAACCGGGAAGGTCAGGGAAAGTCAGGGTATTTATGGCGACTGGGAAAAGTCAGGGAATTTACGGCGACCGGGAAAAGTCAGGGAATTTACGGCAACCGGGAAAAGTCAGGGACTTTATGGCAACTGGGAAAAGTCAGGGAATTCACACTAAAAGTCAGGGAATTTTCCAAGGTGCATTTAGTAGAAGTTAGTGTTTTTAAAGGGGAAAAAAAATCAAAGTGGAAGTTTAATTCTAATGTCAGGCAAAGTCAGGGAATCCGAAAAATTTAGTCAGGGAAAAGCAAAAATAGTCGGGGAATTTGAAGGTGAAGAGATTATGGCAACCCTGCTCTGGGTCCTTTCCACAAATTTTGTCCTCCGCTAAGTTTCGGGTGAAATTATACCCCCATGTCTGACTAAAATTCAAGCTACATAAAGTAGAGTGTTGGTGGATGATGCAATGCATCCAAATTACCTTTTTGTTGAATCTTGAGGAGAACTAAGCCTCAGGAGTTATTTATTCTTTCCTTGGTCTGTAGAAGTAAAATTTTACTAAGGCATGAGTTGCTAAATTATTTTCTCTTTTTTTTTCTCATCTTTTTCAGTGCTAATTAGGTTTGAAAGGTTTTGAGCTGTGAATATCTAAGTCTTTTTTTATGTATATGTTGGTGTCCTTGATCTGGATTAAAAATCATTCAACCTATCTAGGTTTCTAGTAGTCAAGGTTGATTTCTGACTTATGTCCTATTTGAATCAGTGAAATCGAAAACACACCTACGTGGGTTTTTTTTCAATTTTCACTTTTTTACGGTTAAGTAACACTCATGGAGAGAAGCATCTGTACGCTAAAGGAAATTTCGAAATTGCAATCGGAAGTGCTCAAAACAGCGACGGGAAAAGGGAAAAATCGAAGTATTTCATTGGAAATACCAATTTTTGCCCATTTCAAGGGAAACAGGTGACCATATGATTTTGCGGTTTCCTTTTTTCGGTTCAGTATACCTTCTACCAACAAGTTTTATAAATATTCAAGCGTCATTCAGGTGGAAACATATAAATTTTTCAGGGCAGGCTATGAAAAATCAGTATCTGAAGGTCGGTGAGAACGAAAACACACCAACTCGGAAATTTTTAAACGCTTAATTCTCTGTCATCAAACAGGGTGTATCGATTTCAACTTGGTGCTTTACAAAGTCTCTAAGTACTTGTCCTTTGGCACCAAAAAGGTTTTTCTTAAAGTAACTTCTTCGCAACAATTTTTCCTGAACAATTTTCTTCCTGAACAATTTTTTTTTCCGAGTTGGTGTGTTTTTGAACTCACTGATTTATGTCTCGTTCAACGAGATCGGTTTTTGAAAAGAAGAGAACCTCTTGTGAGTCCATTGGTGAAAAATGTGTTTTACCTGTTTGTCAGCCCATTTTGCGGTGTTTACAGGGTATTCTTATTTATCTATAATTTATATTTAATTTTATGGCTGTAATTATAGTGGATTAATGATAAGTGAATTAATTATAATGTTAATATTAATTTGATTTATTATAACTGTTAAATCTGGTACGATGGCTTTTTTGTAAGCTGTGGCATGTACAAACAAATGTAAAATATGGCCCATGTGTTTCTAATGTACTTGCAAGTGTTTTGGACTGCATAACATGAAAAAAAAACAAAAAAACTAGTCTCTTGGGTGCATTTTTAAACAAGATGCGTAACGTTCATTTTTCGCGCACAGACAGGTGCTGCCACAGAAATCTCGAGCAGGAAGTTTGAATGTACTGATTTCAAACGATTTGAATGACATTAATTTTTGGTCTTTTTCAGTTGATTTTGAATATTTACATTAAGTCTGATATGTTCGTTTTGAAATTTGGACAAGAAAGTTTGGTAAACCGTTAATTCTCACCCTGTCAAGTGGGCAATTAAATGTAAATTGCACTTTTTTCAAAGTCAAAATATTTCTGTATACTCAATTAAATGCTCCCTTCTCCTGCAGGATTTCCTCTGAAACTGCAAATCGGATTCGTAACTATTTAAGTATACTAAATAAGACTCATAAGTTTTTAGTATACTAATTAATTATATTATTTAAGTCGTACTAATTTTTAAGTATTAAATCGACTATTTTTCAAGATTTCTGTATCAAACAAAAATAGAGAAGTCAGAGTAAAAGGAGAGAAATTTTGGAGAGTTCATTTTTTTTAGCTCAACAAAAGGTTACCCTGTCTTGAGCAGTAACTGTAATGTTGGACCAAACTATGGATTACATCGATCGTTACGAAGCAGGCTTTCTCAACAGTGAATGTGATTGAGCGGTTTTGCTTGGAAAGGAAACCTTGTAAATTATTACCAAGGATACAAAAAGTTTCAAAATATGTACATACCGTTTCTAACAATTTAGCATTTTGTTCTTACAGCAACTGTGTTGATCTACCCTGCCAAAAATCTCTTGATTCACCCTTTTTTTTTCTAAGTGATGAAAAACGAGGGAGAAAGAGGAAAGAAGTCATCGCTCTTGGCAATACCCGCATGTCCCAAGATTCTGCAAACTCTGCGAAATCAAGCATTGTTTGCACCCCTGCGCTGTTAATTGTTAGGATCTATTGTCATGATACGATTGTCGATGAACAATCTTGCATTTGTATACGAATTTTGCTACTATCTAGTCAGTTTTGTTCCCGTTTAGTTTGAAGAAAGGGAAAAAAACTGTGTCTTTAGGCCCTTTTTCATTTTTCTCATAATATGGCGAGAGCTGTTGGTGGTAACTTCACCATCTCGCCTCTTTGCACTTTATTTTCCACTCCTAATGAACTAGTTGCAAGTGAGAGTTTTATAATTTTGATCTTGATAGAACGTAAGTTAATTCTTTTGGTCCATAGCTTTGTAACCCTCCTTTTTTAGTGTTCTATGCCAGTTTTTCGTGATTTTTTCCCAAGTACTAATTGAAACTGAAGCTGTGACACTAACATTTTAAAACGGAAATTTATCAATTGATTTTTTCCGTTAATTGTGTAATATTTCCCAAATTCACGATCTGAAAAGATCTCCAGAGAACGGTATTAAACTCTCCTCTTTTTCTAGTTTTTAACTGAGAGATCTGACAATAAGTTATAATTTAAGGAACATCATAAGTATTGAAAGAATCTCCATCTATATTTCCCACCTGTTTAAAGCCAATTTCCCCCCCCCCTTTATTTTTAGTGCTGTTGAAAAATGAAGATTAAAGCATTGTTGTTCTAAACAATGAATAGAACATTATTTTGGAAAGTCGTAGATGAGTAATTGCAAACCCCCCCCCCTCTCCACGACTTTGAAATTTGATTTGTTTTTAATAATTTATTCGAAGTTAAGGTGATTCGTCCTGGGTTCTGGGCATAATCGAACTTGCGTGCAATATATCGCATAGATTAACTATAAAATCTTGGCAGAGTTTTACTGTTTAACCAAAAAATGGATGATATCCTTGTGCCGGAGCCTAAGGAATCATTCTTGACCCAAAAAATTGCAAAATTCAGAGAAATGAAAGCAGTGTTTTTCTTGGAAGAGAAAATTTTGTATCTGATACAAGGGACGATAATTGCATCTAATGCAACGCATTTTCCCAAGAAGAAATCTACTTTCATTTCTCTGAAATTTTCCAATATTTTTGGTTGAGAATGATTCTTTAGGCTCTGGTGCAAGGGGGATCGTCCTTTTTTGGCTAGAAAGTAATAATCTGCCATGTTCTTTTACATAATTGATACGGTATTGTAAGCCAGTTTGACCACACTAAGATTCCAGTTATGATCACCCCTAGAAATTTTGAAATTTTACTAACCGGCCAACAATGGCATGGCACACTGTCTGGAAAGGGAGAGTTTAGTTCCTCTGATAACTTTCTCGGCAGTTGTCGCTTAGAGTGTGCAGATAAGTATGGTAATTCATACACGGCTGTGTTCTTCAAAGCTTTAATGCCCATTTACATTTGTAATTTAGCTTATATCTAATTTTGTTGGTTATCTCTGTGAATAATTATTGTAAGTAGTCTCAGTTGTTCTGGCGCAAGTAGTGTGCTCTTTAGTCATTATTTGTAAAAGTTAATTATTGAGTCCAATTTTAACCTTTTTTGAAGACGAAGGAATTCTCATCAGGACTCGAGTCTTGCATCAGTTGAGGTGTGAGCTTTGATTAGTTAAAAGTTTACATTACGTTTTACTTGGTTGTGAACAATTGTTACTCATTTTCTGTTGGAAATAATTAATTACCTAAAGACATTGTAACGGCTAGACATGGGAGGAAAAATTCTACTTTCATGTCGTTGATTCAGAATATCTAGTCCAGAACAATGGACGTCCCTCAGGATTTTGAGTGTGAATGAATGAAAGAAGTTTTCGTTAAGCAGTGAGTTTCATTTCTTTGCTAAACTTATTTAATTTTGCACTTTTGAACCGGATACATTTTTTGCTATCTTGATATTTTTTACTATCTTGATATTTTTTACTGCTGCTTTGCAGTGGTAAGCGTCTCCCCACTTTGGAAATTCTGAAACCTTCTTGGTATAACCTATTGGTTTTTTCCACCTTCTTTTTCGCCTCTAAGCAACAATCATCATTACATGATTGATTTTTGATTAACAAGTTTTCTTTCTTCATCAAATCTTTCAGACACATCTTTTATCTTTTAAAATCGTTGTTTTCTAACCTTTCATGAAACATGAACTTATGCATGTGCTAGTTTAGTAGCAGTAAAATTCATGACGTGACAGGTAAAAAAATTGTGTCATCCATCCCAACCCATCATTTTCTGGCTTTGCCTTTTCGTTATGTATCTTTATCTTTCGAATAGAACTAGAGACTGGTTCTTATATGAAATATCTGGACTTATCATGCCTTTCATATTCTCATCATCATTCCTCACCAGGCGCTGAAAACTATTCTTTTCACCATTAAATGATTTCTTCTTCATGAAGCTTAATTTTTTGTCGTTCAAAAGATCAAGTAAGATTCAAGCATTTTTACAGAATTTGTTTTATTTTGATCAACGATTCATATATCTTCAAAAAACATTAGTTTTTGTGTATTTTTTACTGATTCCTCAGCGCTAACTTTAACTTCGATTTGCTCAGTGTAGTTCTAAGCTACATTAATTCTTCAGCCACCGTTTTGCCACTGTGCAACTGTGAAATTAAAATTATCTTACTATAATCTCAAAATGTCTCAACGAATTTGTAACGAATTGTAACGTATTTGTACGAATGTAAGAATAATCTTAGGTATTTAAAGAGACTGAGCCGATATTTTTAATACATTTTTTGGTATTTTTACAAGTAAGTTAAACTCTTACCTGCTTTCTCTCCTACTTTATAAAAAGTATCACTGTCTTGAATAAACTTGTATTTTCTACTGAATAAACCGTGGACGTTCTGTTTTCTTTACTCTTTAACAAGGTAGTCACATACAGTTGTTTGAAAAATTGACCAAGAAATTTTGCAATATTTTTTTTTGGACATCTCTACCATCGCAATCAGGTAAAAAATGCGGCAAAAGAATATCAGAAATTTTTTTAATTACAAATGAATATAATGATAGTAATTTGAGAGGAAAAAATATCAGTGCATCTTGATTCCTAAGAGGAGAAGCTTGGCAGTCGCAGGCTGATTTTCAAATTTAACTCGTGTCTTATTGAAGTGAATGATTTCATGCAAAAAGGAACCATGTACAATTGAATTTAATCAGAAGGAAGGATGTGCCCAGGATTTGTATGCAACATGTCTCCTTTCGATTTTATTTATTTTCTTATGGTATTCCTTTAAAGTATAAGTATGACCGAATACCCGTAGACTGGTATGATAATTTTTGATTGGAGAGCTAGTAAATAAATTATTAATTGGACTGAGTTAAGCAGAAAGGAACCAACCCACATTTTGGAAAAAATTGAGTTATGAGTGGTTTTGAACTCAACCTCTGCTCTACTATCTATCGCCAAAAATTCAAAGTTTTTGTTGGAGCAACTTTTGTAGAAATTGAACTTGAAGTTTAACTTTTACATTGAGTCTTATGTAGGAGCTAAACTTTAAGCCTCTTTTTCTTGGTTCGATTCCGATGTGGCTTGGTTCCTTTCTGTTTAACTCCGTCCAATTTTCGTTTTTCAAGAGTCTTTTTCACCAAGCAATGGAAAAGCCTGGAATCTAGGAAGCCATTTGGACGGAAGAATCTGTCAAACAACATTAACAGCTGTTGACAGCTAAATTTTGAGAACCAGTGTACCATCATATAGGACCCTTCTTTCTTCTTGTGATACATATTTTTTCCATGGGAAAGCGAGCAATATAACCTGATACTCCGGTATGGTAGCAAGTTCAAGTGTCTCTTGCCCTCTCTACGTAATTCGCATCCATTACCTGAATTTTTGAGCCAGAAAGATAAGGGCAGGCGCAACAAAAGTCTATTTCTGAATTTTTAATTCGAGAAGATTTCTCCTTCAGGAGCAATTATGGCAAGTTGATATTTTTTGAATTTTGCCTAGCTTTCGGTACTTGAGGGTTTTGGAGGACAAGGCACATGAGTGAAGATTTTGAAAGAATTGAGATATTCACGAACTCCACTAAAAGTAGTTCGAAAGCATATTCTGTGAAAAATTCACAACTAAAATCCAACTTTAAAGCATCTAAAAGTGAGTTCAAACTTCCTTTCCGCCACAAGGCTCCATGTAATTTTGAATCTTTAAACACGAATTTTGTGAAGTAGCAAAACCTGCCTTCATTCGCCTTGTCCTCCAAGCACCTCAATTAAGAATTACATCCAGGCTGTTCCTTCTAATTTTTTTTAATACATTGAAATAACGAGTTGGTTGTTTTTCCTGTTCAAAGAAATTCATGGTTTTCATTTTACATTAAGTATGATGAGTTGAATAAATAGCCGAAGTGTTAGGTATTATTAGATATATTAGGTAGGTGTTAAGTAAAGGTATAGAAGTAAATATTTAATAATATTTATGTGCTTTACTTACACAACAGCACTTAAATATATTTAAATTAATAAATATAAAAAAGATACATAGTAAACATAAAGTAGGGGTATAGAAGAATATATTTAATAATATTTAATTGCTGTACTAATAAAACAGCACTTAAGTACATTTAAATAAATAACTATAAAAAAGATGTGTAATAAACATTAGCAAAGTAGAGGTATAGAAGGACATATTTTAGAATGCCCGATAAAAGGATTATTATAGTATACCAGTTCATGTGGCTTAAATACAACTTCTAAGATGTGTAAGCTAAAATCAAGCTATTGGACTTATATTTCAATTATAGACTATTTAATTCTTTTATCTAATCAACTATTTCCTCAATTTACATGAAGTGTTCAATGAGTGTGAATCAAGACCAATTTCACCTTTCTCTGGAGAGATGCTCTCAGAGCAATGAAACCAGTCAAGGCTGCAGTTCACATGCAGGTGGTGAAGGTCGCCCTCAAGATTTTTTCCTCAGTGATTATTTTGATGGGGAGCAGGCAGCAATGGCTCTGTCACTAGTCTTCTTCCTGCTTCTCTCTTGAACTCAAGTTTCTGCTCAGTGCTCATGTCTTGTCAACTGCTCCTCTGCATCACTTTAAGTGAGCGACATGTGCGCACGACTGTTCCTGAGTGCCCTTCTTTTTGCGTCGTTTGTCGATCACGGTAAGATCTCAGCATTTTAATATCATGTAAATCATGGAGACAACTTATTCTTAGCATTGGCTGTTCCAAAAAAAAAAAGAAGCTGACCTGTCAAATTCGGAGAGGAAACCTCTAAGCATTAAAAGAAAAACTGAAGGAAGAAAAACTAGAAACTAAGAAAACTGTCAAAATATCCCGTTACCTATTTGTAACATGTTGTGTTTATATTTCAGTTTCTCATGTTGCATATTTTGCAGTTTATTTTGTGTTGAGCATCTGTGTGAGACATGTTTAGACTTCAACAAAATTTTATTGCCAATATTTCTAATAACTTCTCAAAATAACATATTTTAGCATAAGATAAGATAAGATATATTTTATTTGAACTGTAAAACGTAAAAGATAAAACAACATTATTCTGCTTGGCAAATTGCGATACCCAATTACTCTGCCGGATCAGACGTAATAAATACAAATGACAATAATACAAAAAAAAGTATTAAAATAAATAGGTACCGTGACATAAATCAAAACTAGAGTAAGACGCAATTATATTGAACATTAACCAAGTATAAAATTGGAAGAAAAAAAAAGAAAAAAAAACTAAATACTCAGACAAAACTCACTTTTTCAAGCCCCAACAAGTCAACTTCTTACACTTAGCATTGCTCGAAATTATGTTTTCAAGTTAGAACGTTCTAATTACTTTATAGCAAAGCTACAACTCGGATTTTGATTTGCAATTTTTCCAAGCATCTTTCCGTTTTTTGTCCCATTCAGGAGGCTGTGTAGGTATGGATGACGACTTAGATCACGATGACTTAGTTGGTCTCTCTTCGGAAGTGAATCCGCACTCCATGTTCTACCAGTCGCCAATCGACCTCGAGTCCAAAGAAGCTTATCCAATCGAACTCTCTCCACTCATGTTCAAAGGGCATTGGACGCTGGGCCACAAACCGTTGATAAAGAACAACGACGAAACAGGTGAATATCCTCTCTATTCTAATAACAGGGTGTCTAGCATCAGGAAAAACCGGAAAATATCAGGAATATTGGCCGATCAGGAAAAAATCAGGAAAATCGGAAAAATCGGACATTTTATTAGGAATTTTTCTTACGCAAATCTCCTCGCCAAAGTCTTAATACCTTTCGCCTACCGTGCCAGGAGTCGAGAAAAATCAGGAAAATATCAGGAATTTTCAAAATGAAAAAAATCAGGATTTTTTTATAAAATATCAGGAAAAATCAGGAAAATATCAGGAATTTTCAAAATGAAAAAATACTAGATACCATGAATAAAGTCATTTTTCAGGAACTCGATGGACGGGATGAGGAAGGGGAATAAGACGGTCCATGGGCTGAGGGAGGAAGGGGAGTTAAAAGTCCAACTTAGGTACGCAATTTCAATTTGCTCGTCCAAGTGATTTCGACGATTTCGCTGGCCGCGAAGCAGCCTCTGGGAGCGCGTAGCAGCCAGAAGGCGGAGCCCCCTAGTTTCTTTCATTCAGATTTGAGTGTGCCTGTTCAGGAGGAAAAACTTAGAAAAGCATTATGTATGGGGCCTCATTACTGTTTTGTAAGCAGCTCAGCACGAAAATGACACGTCTCAAATGTCGAAGACGATTGCAGCTGTGATTGTTTGAAAGAGGTCCTTGAAACATAGGTATATGTGGTTTTAGATAAAAGCAATCCGACGTTGGATTATACTCTGCTAGAAGGGACCAACATTTCAGGCTCGTTTTAGAAACAACAAATGTGCTCCTATATTCACGTGCAACAGGTGCTTCTCATTCTTTTTCGTTCTCCTCTACCCCTCCTTCTTACTCTTCATTTTGTCTTCGTTGTCCTCATTTTTCTCTTTTTTTCTTCTTCTCTTTGTTTTTCTGTTTCCTCTTAAGGAAATGAAACTGAGATTAATCAGAGAATGAAATATTTCGGGGGAAAACGGGGAAAAATCAGGGAGAGAGTCTGTTCCAGAAACTAGGAATCCCTTCTTCTATCGCTTAGAAACCATTTTTTATGTGAAATTGTGTAGGAATTCGTGTGCTTTGAAAATCATTAAGTTTGATACGGAAGCACCTTAATATTTACAAAACACACATTATATTTTCCTTTAATACATATTTTTTTCAATCAATTAAAATAAATGAGAATAATCCATACAGAGCGTGCAAACATTTCAAATCATGAGTTGAAAAACGCTGACTCCGCCAGATTATATGTTAGAGCCTAACACAAAGCGGAGCGGCGACGCACTGGCGCCTACAAATCTAACAGGGATACTTCACGCATTGCGCAACGCGTGAAGTATCCCTGTTAGGTTTGTAGGCGCCAATGCGCGTTTCGCGCTGCAGCGTGCCACGGCGCTTGAAGCAACTATTTCACACCAGAGGTATTGCACAGTATCCTACGAAATTGAAGGCGCGCTAACATACTAGGAATGACAGGCATCCATCAAAAGTACGGAGCTTTCCTCGCAAAATAAATCAAGATACTACGACCCAAGAAGAGAGCGGTAGTCCAAAAACTCACTAAGTTCTAGCATCCGTAATTGGTAACATTTAGTATAATTACACTCTGTCGCCTGGCTGTTGCTTAATCGCCATCGGCTGTAAAAGGCTATAAGAAATTGTGTATCCGGCTATAGAAGCTATTGGAAATCTTACAGCCGGCAGCCGGCTGCAGGTCTATGGTATTTTGGAACACAGATTCTACCGGCAATTTTTACCAGGGGGGTTAGGGGAGGGGACCAATTTAGCGGGCTGATCATTGAAATTGATGGACAAAGCGATCGACAAAGAAGACTTAGGGAGCAAGGAGCGATTCTATTGGTTGAAACCAGGCCCGCCACATCCCATCTCGGGCCCTGGTACCAATTTTCTGGCCCGGGCCCCTAGCATAGGGGGGGGGGGTCGGGGGG